GCATATTGTTTAAGTGCTGGTTCCTTGTTTTCACCTACTCTATGCATCAACATTTTTTTTTTTTGATTGCAACTTTTGAATTATATTGGCCGTTATAATTTTCTTAAACAAATTTGTACGAAAAAAGTGTCATCATTAATCAATCTCAAAAAAATTATCGATGATTACTGCTTTTTGTACAACTGTTTTTTGTGGTTTTACTTTGACTTCTTAGACATTTAACCCGTCATATTCGATAAGAAGGCTAAGGTAAAACAGCGCCTTCCTTCTGTGCGATATATATAGCCATAAGCCTTGTTAACCTGTTTAAAGCAAACTTCTGACATTCAAGCCGTTAAATTTTGCTGTTTTTTCTTCCCTTCTAATAGATAAATTTTAATTTTTTGCTATTGTTGCAGGGACAATGAGACAAAACTGAAGATAAATCCGTTGGATAAATTTGAATTTGAATAATATTGACGAGAGTTCTGGAGGAGATCAACAAAACTTGTTGATCAACCATAATGGTGCTAATGCTGATGATAACGATGGCGGATGAAGTAAGAATACACATAAGAAGCAAAAAAAAATTGTCAGTGAGCGAAATGGTTGACCAAATAAACAAACTTGTTGAAATTTAAAATTCAGAAAAAGCAAAAAAAAAAAAAGCGTAAAAATTTTTGAAGGAAGAAAAGACGATAAAAAACGATAAAAATAAAAAAAAAAAGAAAAACTAGAAAAAAAGACATTAAAAATTTGAAAAAAAAGCAGCTGATAGTTACTGCAAAAACTTAAGCAACTAAATGACAAATGATCTCTTTACAATGTTCGAAAATCCACCGGAACAATTCACTTAAGCTTTCTGTTTGCGTATGTTTGTGTGTGTATATTTATAAATTATACACTGTTGATTTTTTTCTTCAAATGTTACTCTCTGTTTTTTTTCGTACATTTTCTTTGCTTCTGAAACGAACAAAAAGTAAATACTGTTCTCATTTCTTTTAACTGTTTAGTATTCCTATATTGCAAGTAATATGAATGTATCAGAGGGTTCGGATGATGATTCTCAACAATTAAACGTGTCTGTTAAAATATGTGATGAGTTATTCTTTTTTTTTTTTTTCACGATTTTGTTACAATTTATCACTGCAAATCAATGGTACACTTTACTCGGTTGCGTCTGTGTTTGTTTGGGTATAACGACATTGGTTTACTTTTTTTCCATTCATTACCAAACCACCCCACGGCACTTTGCCTTATTCTATTCCCATCCCTTCAGCTTACTACTTTTCCTTCTCCTCCTCTTCACCGTCCTCTACTCCTTCTCGTTTTTTTGTTGTCCAGCCAGAAAAAAGTAATCGCTTCATTGTTATTTTGATGAAGTTGGCAATTATGTAACTGACACAGGGTTCTTCTCCTCCCCCTTCTTCAGTTTCATTTTATTCTTCGCATTCTTCCTCACATTGCTATTGTTGTTGTCGTTGTGCCTAATGACTGACAACGTAAAACAAAGGAGGAAATATGTTTTTACAACTGTGTATGTATGGTCGTTGTATAACAACACAATCGGTAAAGGAAACAGACAAATAAACGAACATTGATCAAAACTATTTTGAGTTACGGTTTACAGTTTGTTGCCGTTGTTGTCTTTATTTCATCATTCTCTTATCTGCAAA